AAAAAAAAAAAAAAAAAAAAAAAAAAAGAGTTAAGGGATACACAAGACCTGTTTCTGTCATCACTTAGCTAATATGTTATCATTTTTGATGAAATTTTCTCAGGTCAAATTTTAAACAAAATCCTCTCAGAAAAGAAGAATTGAGCTTTGGGGAGTTGTTTTGCTGAGTGAAATGAAGGGATGTTACAGTATAGTGAAGTGATTGTTCTGTATAAAAAGTGCACAAATGAAAGGAATGCTATACGCAGATATAACCGTGATATCTATCCACCAGGAAATAAGGCAGAAGTTGCCAACTTTAAGGCATTTCTTCACTAGTTACTGGTTTATAAAATAATTAACTTTGAAAAATAACTGTAAACTCTAACTGAGCCTCTTTTCTTGTGATTTTTAATCCCAGATGACATATGGAAGGAAACCTTGGTATTTTTCTTGACACCATTTGCTTTTGTCTCATTGTTTGTTTTGTTAGTAACTTGTCTGCTTTTGTACAAGCAAAAAGCTGTACTGAAAACGGTAAGTTGTGTAACATAATGTTTAGCCTGAGATAGTAGATAGCCTTTCAGACTGATTGACAGCTGACTTCTGGGAGAGAATGTGGCAACCTAAGTGTAGACAGTGGCTTTAAAACTCAGGGAATAGTGACCTGTAGCTGACAAGCAAGAGTCAAGCTTTTAGTTTGGACCCATTGCTGTTTAATATCATTCAGCGTTTCTTCTCTGTGGTCCACAGACCACATGGACATTTAGTCTGCATTTAGAACTGATGGACCTATATTTTATAATGTTTCCTGTACACCGTGGGTGTACAATTGATGTTGTATGGATTATGATGATTGTCTGCAGAAAATACAATAATTTAAAAACTCAACGCTACTAAGCTAAATTTGGCGGTAGCTTTACTTTTGTTGAAATATAGGAACAATGGCTCAGAACATGAAACACTGTTTACTTCTAGATTAGGGAACAATACGAGGAAAGAGTTACAGGAGAAAAGCAGGATTGGGAGGAAGAAAAGAGTTACTTAAACTGGATGGAGACTGAAATAGATTACTAGTCTGTCGCAGGCCGATTTCACAAAAATTGAAGAAAAGTTGCCCGCCCTCAAGGAATTCATACTCTAGTTGGGGGAGAATAGACTCCATAAAAAATATAACCTGCACTGTGAGTTGTTTTTAGATGATTCCTATTTGAGTTGTACGGAGACTATTATAGAATTGCAGAAGATGAAGGTCACTACGGGTTGGTGGGCTTTAAGGAGAAATTGTGACTTGGAGAAAAATCTCTTAATGCCAAGTCTTTTAAAGATAAAGGGAAATTTGAATGTGTATGAAATATTTCACTTTATTTCTCTGCTGAATGCTTTTTTCAAATCTGTTTCTCTGAGGTACTAGTCTGAATTAAAATAGTTTATGTTATTAATGACTATTTGTTAGTAACGGAGTTCTTCCTTAATTTCAGATCTTTCAGAGGAAAAAAGAAGTCTTTTCTCATCAAGACACATTCTGTTGACTGAATAACTTTCAGTCTTATGGCCAAATGTTCAACGAGTCTTATTAAATGGAATGTTTTCTCCAAAAAATTTAATAAATCTACCTTAAAAGCATTGTTGTATTTAAGTAACTTTAGAATACTCAAATCCTGCAGTACATTTCCTGGATTCTATTAATAGGTTTTTTTCCTTATTAATCCCTGGTCAGAGCGATACACATAGATAAGTCAAGGGTTGGGTCAGATCTACTCACTGATATATTAATAAAACAATGTGATTTTATAACTTGTACTAAGCCAGAGATATTATTAAATCTTGGAAGATGAGATTCTAATTTTAAAAAAATTTAATTTTTTAATGTTTATTTATTTTTGAGAGATAGAGAGAGATAGCGCAAGCAGGGGAGGGGCAGAGAGAGGGAGACAAAGAATCTAAAGCAGGTTCCAGGCTCCGAACTGTTAGCACAGAGCCTGATGTGGGGCTCGAGCTCACAAAGCGTGAGACTATGACCTGAGCTGAAGTCGGACACTTAACCAACTGAGCCACCAGCACTCTTCTAATTTTTTTTTTAATTGTACTTGTGATGAATGTATTCATCATAAGTAAGATTGTTTGGCTTTAAGAGTAACCTGTGGAGGGGCGCCTGGGTGGCTCAGCCGATTAAGCCTCCGACTTCGGCTCAGGTCATGATCTCGCGGTCTGTG